TGCCTGTCTCTCCCATCCCCACTTCTAATCCCCTCTCCCCCCAAGAGTGAATTATCAGAGTCTCATAGGACTGGTCATAATGACAACCCGTCCTTTCACACGACACCCGTCACGTGGGTCCCATGTCCCCTCACCTCATCCGCATCCCTGCAGGATTCACCCAGCATGACGGTGTTCCCAGCACTTTGCCCAGTGCCTGGCAAAAGCAGGCACTCAATGAGAGTTTGTGGAATGGATGAATGAACCTGACTTGTGTCAGAGCCTTATAATTTACAAAGCACTCTCTCATCCATTAACTCAAGGGCTATTCCTTGTGAGCCTTCCTTGTCCTCCACGGGGCTCAGCACAGAAGTGGATAGTCATGGTGCAGCCTCCTAATCAATGGATGAGAAAAAGAATGAATGCCTGAGTCTACAGAGAAGGAGAATCCATTTCATTAGCCTGCAAATCTGGAGGGCAAAGACCAGGTCTTCATCATTATATTTCAATGCCCAGCACAATGTCTGGAACACAGAGTCCAATATTTGTGAAATGTGTTGAATAAATCAATTCCCCCCTCTGCAGAAGTAGCAAGAAGACTTCCTGCTAATGACTGCTCTCCTAACAGAATCCGAAGGGAGAATTGGACTGAATTACTTCCATTTCTAGCACATTTTGATGTGTAGAATCTTTTCTTATCTTTTTAATCTCAGGTCTCTGATGGGAAAAGATTATTATTCCTGCTTTACAGATGGCAAAGCCAATTTCCAGGGAGGTTGGGTTGTCCTGCCCACAACTCATTTAGTCCTCTGACATCTGTAGGGAGAGAGGTGAATGCACAGAGGAGACAGTGGCAAATCGAAGGTGCAGAAAGGTGCCTATCAGCTCCCAGAGACGCCATGGAGCCAGGTCTCCTGAGTTTTCTCTCCCCCTTCCTTTCCTTATCTTCAGAGGCGGGGAGTCCGGGAAGAGGGCAGTGTCAAAGCTGTCAGCCCCTGCGTTCTGAGAGATTACAATCTAAGCACCTCCTAAACTGGTTCTCAGGTGTCCCCAGCACCTCATTGCCTGTTTGGTGTGCAGAAAACTTTCCATCCTTCATAAAGCTGGCCCTGGTTAACCCAAACCACCCACATCCACGCCAATGAGACCAAGAACAAATTCGTTGTTCACCTCAAGCACCTCCTCTTCTCACCCCCGGGGGGAGATCGGACCCCCACACTAGGGGAGCGGAGGGGGAATATTCTAGGTGGTACTGGGGTATCTGGAAGTGGGCTGAACTGAAAACTGCTTTCCGTAAATTCTCCTCTGCTGGATTTTTTTATTCCTAGATCTAATTCCAGACTGTGATGTGAACTCTCCCTGGGTCTCCCACCCTCGACAAGTTCCCCCGGCCCCAGCTCTTGAGCCAGCACCCCCACCGCCCCTGCGGGTTCACGTTTCAGGGCTTGTGGGGTGCAGCACAAAACTCCACTCCATCTCGCAGACCCCAGGGCGCCCTCTAGCGGACGCGAGGCGCGGGGTGGGGCCACCGCTCGCCCTCGGGCCCGTCCGGCTGCTTAAGGGCACCTGGCAGGTTTGGAGACTCAGAAGGGCCACAGCGGTTGTTCCTTGCGTTTGTGTCTTTGGAGAGGTGGGAGGTGGCACCCGTGTCGGCAGAGAACCCAGCAGGCGGCCGATGGACTGAGACCGGACAGCTGCCACGCAGGCTGCGTTCCTTCCACGCTCAGGACTCCCGGCTTCACCTCGGGAACAGGCCCACGGGTGACGCTCGCGCTTTCTCCCGCCCCCAGGCTTCCAGGTCCGGTCCTAGTTTCGAGGCCCGGCTTTGGGAGTGGGGCTGGGGGGGGGTGTCCCCGGGGTGTCCCCAGTTCCCCAGAGGCGGGCACGGGCCTCCTGGGGCCGCGATCGGAACCCCGGACGGGCGCGGGTGGGGGCGAGGTAGGTGGCTGGGTGGGTTGGGGGGGGGTCTCCCCGCGAGGTCCGAGAAAAGAGGAGGCGGGGAAGCCAGGAGCCTCTCCCGCTCGGCCTCCTGGAACTGCCCGCGCTCCGGGAGCGGCGCCCCCGCCTCTGCCAGAAACTGGCCTTCTTAGAAGGGAGGGGGAAAGTGTGAATGAGAAGTTGGGGGCGGAGCGCGCGCGGGGGAGGGGCCGCTGCCAGGAACGCGCCGCCGGGGCTGGCGCCGCGCCCGCCGGGCCGCCCGGGCCGCCTCGCGTCGCGCTTTGTCTCTGCGCGCGTCTCTGCGGGTCCCCGGCCCCGCTCGCGGCCCGCCCTCGGCCGCCCGCGGCCCCTCCCTCCGCTCGGCGCGCAGCCTTTCATTGCTGCGAGTAGTGACTAAACATTACAAGAAGGCCGGCCGAGCAGTTCCAGGAATCGGGGGGGCGGGGCGCCGGGGCCGCGTATATACCCGCGAGCGCGGCCTCCGCGGCGGCTCCGACTCACACTCCCCGCGCCGCCGCCGCCGCCGCCACCGCCACTCCGGCCCCGCAAGCAGCCCGCCCAGCCCAGCTCCGGTCGCGGCCCCTCGCCTCGCGCCCCCCCCACCCCCCACCGCCCGGCCGGCCCGGGGGCGCGCTGGGGGCAGGGCGGGCGCCCCGGCGAAGCCCGAGGGACGCGCGCGCGAGGCCCCTTTGTGGACTTCGCGGCTGCCAACATCTGGACGCAAGGCGGGCCACCCACCGCTGGCCGCCGTGCCTTGGGGACCGTAGGAGGCGCAGCCCCGAAGCCAGAGACTTCGGTTTGGGACCAGGTAGGAAGGAGGGGCGCGGCGTGGAGCGGGAGGGGGTTGGGGGGGTTTCGCTAGTCCTGGGAGCTTTTCCCGGTTTCCCCTCCCCTTCCCGGGTCATTCCCGGCAGGGAGGGGACTAGATAGGGGGCAGAGCGGATGGAAGCCGGAGATCCCAGGTTCCCGGAATACCCAGGCTGGGGCCCTCCGGCTTCTCGGGTCCCCTCCCTACCCCCCCACCCCCCTCCCTACGCCTTAGATTTCTTTCTCCGTCCTTGCCCCCCGGGGCCACCGGACTGAGCGGCGCCCAGAGCGTCCCGGGGGCCCTTCTCCCGCTCCCCACCCCGGCCACGCTCCTGGAGACCCAACTTCCGCGCCCGAGTTTCCCACTCGGCGCCTTCCCAGTGCGCGGTGGGGAAAGGGCTGCCTGGAGACGGGGGCTGGGCGGGCTCCGTGGGGCGTCTGGGTCGGAACGGGTGCCCAGGCGAGCGCCTCCGGGGCAGCTGGTGTCCCAGGCGCTCGGCAGGCAGGGGAGCCGGGGCGGGTCGGGCGCGCTGGAGGGTTCCGGGCACTCATGCGGCGCGTGCCTTCTTCCCCGCAGCCCCCCGGGATGCGGTAGCGGCCGCTGTGCGGAGGCCGCCGAGCAGCTGCAGCCGCCGCCGCCGCGCAGATCCACGCTGGCTCCGTGCGCCATGGTCACCCACAGCAAGTTTCCCGCCGCCGGGATGAGCCGCCCCCTGGACACCAGCCTGCGCCTCAAGACCTTCAGCTCCAAGAGCGAGTACCAGCTGGTGGTGAACGCAGTGCGCAAGCTGCAGGAGAGTGGCTTTTACTGGAGCACCGTGACGGGCGGCGAAGCGAACTTGCTGCTGAGCGCCGAGCCCGCGGGCACCTTCCTCATCCGCGACAGCTCGGACCAGCGCCACTTCTTCACCCTCAGCGTCAAGACCCAGTCGGGGACCAAGAACCTGCGCATCCAGTGCGAGGGGGGCAGCTTCTCTCTGCAGAGCGACCCCCGGAGCACGCAGCCCGTGCCCCGATTCGACTGCGTGCTCAAACTGGTGCATCACTACATGCCCGCCGCCGGCGCCCCCTCGTTCTCCTCGCCCCCCGCTGAACCCTCCTCCTCGCCCTCCTCGGAGGTGCCTGAGCAGCCACCGGCCCAGCCGCTCCCCGGGAGCCCCCCCAGGAGAGCCTATTACATCTACTCGGGGGGCGAGAAGATCCCTCTGGTGTTGAGCCGTCCCCTCTCCTCCAACGTGGCCACTCTCCAACATCTCTGTCGGAAGACCGTCAATGGCCACCTGGACTCCTACGAGAAAGTCACCCAGCTGCCTGGGCCCATTCGGGAGTTCCTGGACCAGTACGATGCCCCGCTTTAGGGGGCAGAGGGGGCAGGGGTAGGGCGAGGGGGCCTGGGTCCCCTCTCCTCCATGGCACAAGCACAAGAATCCAGCCGCGAGAGTCCTGCAGCTCCCAGGGGAGCCAGGGGGCCGGGAGCCCCCTCCCGCCGGCCCTCCCCCCGCAGAACAGGGGGCGGCACCTGGAATGTGTTTGAGGGGAGACGGAGAGCCCCCGGAGCGCACCTCCCCGACTCCAGCGTCTCCGGAGGAGCCAGCTGGCCCAGGGGGACCACAGCAAGGACCGCAGTGGATTCTCTGTCCTCTCCCGCCTCCTCCACCCCGCTGCGCTTCCAAACGGGGGACACCGCGGGGCGTGTTGAACTGTGAGAACTGCCGGGGAATCTTCGAACTTTCCAACGGAACTTGTTTGTTCTTTGATTTGGTTTAAAACAGAGCTTTAAACCTCAGCGGGTTGAGAGCCTGGAAAAGGGGGGTGGGGGGTGGGGGGTGGGGAGAGGGTGCCTCGGGGGCCCAGGGCTGCAGGCTGGCCAAGGAAATGGTCACTCCCCGCTCTCCTCTCAGGTCAGGAGGGGCGGCTGCCTACTCCACCTCTGGCTCTGGGGAGAAGGGTGACCCTAAGCGGACCTTTCTGCTCCCCCTCTTCCTGCCCCTCAGATGGCCACCAGAAACACAGGTCCTAGAGTCCATCTAGTGCCCAAGAGCCCAGGGCCCTTCTCCCGTTTTAAGGGAGGAGTGGCATTGGGGGCGGGGAATGGATGGGCCGGTCAGTAGTTCTGAAGTCACCCCTGCTCTACCTTTCAGCACCTGGCGGGGTGGGGCTGGAGGAGATGGAGGAGATGAGCCACCTTTGACCCCAGACAGAGACGAGGGGGCATTCTACTTTATGCCCCCTGAATAGATCTGGCTAGGAGATTTGCCTTAAATGCTCCCTGTCCCATGGATAGGGACTGGCACACAAGAAGCCACACACTCAGCCAACCCCAGCAGAGGCCAAGGATCCTCAGAGGGCGCCCAGCAGCCACTCCGCATCTGGTGGTGGAGGTCGGAGATGGCGGGGGGGGGGAGGCGGCAGAGATCCGCGCGGCTTTCCAGCCGAGCGCAGGAGGAATGCCATCCAGCCCAGTGGGTGCTGGCCGCTGGTGGGACCTGGGCTCTGGTCTGAGGCAGAGCCACTGGGCCCCCCAGCCCCTGCAGAGACAGCCCTCCCTCCTCACTTCGGGGGACTGGCACCGGCAGGAAGTCATCAAGAGGCCCCGCCACCCAGCTGCTCGAGCTCTGCAATAGCACTGATAGTGAAAAACTTGTAGGAATGTAGCAGCGATGGAATTACCTGGAACTGTTCTTTTTTGGGGAAAACCAAACACAGAAGTTTTCTGTGTCAGGTATTGGGCTGGATGGGTCAGCTGTGTGTTGGGGTGTGTTTTTTTTTTTTTCTTGTTATTTTGTTTGGATTTTGTTTTTGTTTTTTAATAATGTTTACAATCTGCCTCAATCACTCTGTCTTTTATAAAGATTCCACCTCCAGTCCTCTCCCCTCCCCCTACCCAGGCCTTCGAGGCTGATAGGAGATGCTTGAAGAACTCAACAAAAATACCAATCCAAATCAAACTTTGCACATATTTATATTTATATTCAAAAAAGAAACATTTCAGTAATTTATAATAAAGAGCACTATTTTTTAATGAAAAACCTGACTGGAGCCTTTCTCCCACCCCCCCACCGCTGCTTCAGCCTTGCTTTCTCTTTCACCCACACCCACACGCTACATCAGAGGTGGCGGCCCTACCGCCTCGCTGCCCTGGTGCTTCTCGTGATGGAATCAAACTCTGGCTTCACGTCACTGACAAAGCGAAGGCAGCCACCTAGACTGTACCCGGGAGGGGTAATTCCTGCTAGTCTGATTCAGATCTGACCAGAATATGCAAAGCAAGTTCGAAGGAAGCGCTTCAAAGGGCTTGCAGGGAGTATGAACTGAGCTGTGGTCAAAGCTTTTAGAGGCTCCAAGCTATTAGAGGCACTGGGCTCCTTGGCAGAGAGGTGTTCCGAGAAAGCCCAGACGATGGGGTCCTGGCAGTGACCCGTGACCTCAGGACAGACAGGACCCTGGGAGCTGGGGGGAGGGGCAGTCCCGATGCAAACCCTGCTCGCAGTGGGGCCCTCCTATGGGTAGGAACCCCACAGCCTGAGCAGTGGGTGGGGCCACCCGCCTCCCAATAAGAGCAGCTGTCTATTCACCTGTTTGCAGCCACCCCCACCAGGCAGGTGTCATTACCCCACATTCACAGACCCAACTGCGTGTTTCCTGGGAGCGGGGATTTGGACTGGTCCCTTCTGATGCCTAGAACTGGTGCTCGGTAAATATTTGTTGGCTGAGCCTGGGGGCAGCCTTTTAGGTTCACGGAGGTTAAGCAACCTGCCCAAGGACACACCACTTGGGAATGTGGAGAAGACACAGGTTAGGAACCCAGGAGGCTTTGATTTTCCCAAAGCCTATGAATGCTCTGCCTCCCTAAGTAAGCATGAAGTCTATGCCCAGGGTTGCCCCTAGGTGGGTCCCCCCTGCAAAGCCAAGAGTTTGGTAACCTCCTTCCCAACATGCACACTCAGCATTAGGGCTCTGCAGAAACACAGACTAAAAATGCCTGTTCTGGGACACTTCCCTTCCATGCTTCTTCCTCCCCCAAGCCCCCAAACCTAACAGATGGAGAGAAGAGTGTTCCCCCATCAAGTCAGGGGCCCATTCCCTCATCTGCCTCGGATGCCTGAAACAAATGCCAAAGCCCTCTTCCTGGCCCCCGATAAGCTGCTCCAGGAATCAGTGTCCAAAAGGCAACTGAGAGTAAATAAACAAAATTGTTTTTCTTTCCCATTTCCTGGACTTTTGGGGGAAAAATAACCTAAAGTGACAAAGGGCCAGACCAGGCGTGAGATCACGGAGTGGACAGAGCACATAGGAACCACACCAGACAGACTACCACCTCTGGGACTGGGAATGCTGACCCAGGCAAGGTCACCTTCCCGGAGCACCAGGTCAGGTGAGGGGACCCAGTGGGGCTTGGCTCCCCAGGGCCTCCCAGTTGGAGGAGAGCTTGGGAAACTTCTGGCAGGCTCTTCCCCACCCCAAAGCCTGCCAGTCTGCCACCGTCTGCTGGCACAACAGCCTCCGTGGAACCTTGGAACCCAGAGTGTACCAAGGTCCCAGCCCCATCCTCCACCCAGAAGGCAGCTGTACAGCCAGTGGCCAGTATTCACAGGGCACTAAAGGGGCTTCCCTGTGGCTCAGACGGTAAGGAATCTGCCTGCAACGCCAGGGACCAGGGTTCAATCCCTGGGTCAGGAAGATCCCCTGGAGAAGGGAATGGCTACCCACTCCAATATTCTTGCCTGGAGAATTCCACGGACAGAGGAGCCTGTTGGCCTACAGTCCATGGGCTCTCAAAGAGTCAGACACGACTGAGCGACTCACTTCACTCAAAGAAAGGGCCTGGTAGGGAAGTGGTTCCCTCACCCCTTGGAAGTTGAACTCAGAAGGCGCCTGACTCCTTACCCTCGCTGCCCACCCCACCCTTCTTCCCATAGGTCTCTCCATTTACAGACCACAGACTGGACCACCCTTCTGATTTGACAGACAAGTCAAACTGAGTCCTGAAGAAGGAAAGCAACTTATTGGAGTTCACACAGCAAGCTAGCTATTGGCAACACCAGGACAAGAAACTCTCAGCTCGCTCTGCTCACCAGCGCTTATCTCTGTTTCCCTCCTCACCCCAACCCCTGTTGCAGAAATCTGTACTTCTCAATCCTTTCAGAGGCAGGCATCCCTCCTCCAGAGAACTTTGTTGGGGGGTCCCTCTGTCCTGGCCGCCAGTGGAGGGGTATGCCTGCTTCCAAGATTTGCTAAGAAGCGTCTCACAGGGAAGGGGGTTAATACTCTGCAGCTTGGGCAGGCACCCATGCCTCAAGAGGTTAAGCTTAGCTCAAGAGGGGTGCTTGGCCAAAACAGAGGCTGGAGATGCTCTTCCGCAGGCCCTGAGTTCAATCACCCTGCTTTAGGCGCTGTAGGAATTCACCCCAAGAGGCCCTTATCCGCTCTCCGTTGGTGCTGTTTTGGGGCAGTCCGCCCGATGAGTTAAGAGCCAGGAACGGGAACTCTAATGCCTGCTCTAGAGGAGGGAACGAAGGAGGCGACAGACCGGGGAGCTGGAAACGGGAAATAAGCGGCCACGTGTGTCCTAGTCTAAGGAACGAGTAAGGATGTTCGAGACGGGGTACCAGGCAGAGAGAGAGGGAGAGAGACAGTGCGGGGCAGAGTCAGACAGCCACAGAGGGAGCCGAAGCAGAGACAGAAGTCTGCGGGGTGAGGGACCTCTTGCACAGGGGCGGACCGGCAAGACCGAGACCGAGGTGGGATGAGTCCGGTCCCAGGCGCACCTTCTTGCGACGCGTCCCGCCCCCTCCGATGCCGGCGGCCGCCTGGCGGGCGGGCAGGCAGGCGAGCGAGTCGCTCTGGAGGACTGCCTCTGCCAGGAAGAGTCACTTCCCGGACACCACGGGAGCCCTGGCGGAGCTATGCGAAGAATGTCAGCGCGGAGCCGAGCGGGTGGCACCTCCCGGGCCAGCGCCGCCGCCGCCGCCGCCGCCCTGCGGAGCGTGCGCGAGGACAGACCCCGCCCCCGTCACGCCCCTGCCCACGCCCCTGCCACGCCCCCACCGCCGGCGGAGCGATCACCATGGCAACCGGATTACAGGCGCATAGTGCTGTTTATTCTCAGACGAGTGCCAGGAAATTCGGCCGGGAGGCTGCCAGGCGCACCTCCCTGGGGTGGGGGGGCGGGAGAGGGAGGAGAGAAGGGTGGACCGGCGTGCCCGGGGCTCCTGGGGGGAGGGAGGGAGTGAGAGAGGGAGGGAGTCCTTGGTCACTGGGTGTGGGGGGGGATCACTGACCCCTCCGAGGGGAGGCTGCTCTGGACGCCCTGACTCTTTGCCAGCCCTGGGTGGATCAAGTTTTCCCGGGGGAGCCGAGATTCCCACTCCAGGCCGGCAGCGCGTCTACCTCCCCCAAACAGTCTCACAGCCCCTGCCTGTCAGTCAGTCAGTCACTCCCTCATTCATTCACTCACTCACTCAGCAAGTACCTATTAACACATCCTGTGTGTTAATAGGATTGAGCGTGAACAAGACAAAGCCCTGCTCCTGCTCTCCAGAGATTCCGTGCGAGTGACAGACACCAGTTAAAATGTAAATAGAATGAATAGACTGCTATCTGCGCCCTGAAGACTCATCTTGAAGCCTCATTTCCAGTACCTCGGACATCCACAATCCTGTCCGTCCTTAGGCACAGTGGCCACCTTGTCCTGGGTTAGTAGCCCTGAGTGTCCAGGGCATTTGATCACTCTTCCCTCGGGTCACACAGTCATGTCCGTGATAGAGAAACTGAGGCTTGGATTACAAGGACAGTTCTTTCAGGGTGGTGGGGATCATTGGAGAGAGTTGGAGGTCCTACCTGAGAATCCAGGGCTCTTCTGCCTCAACACTTTTCACCGCCCTGGGCTGCCCCCCCTCCCAAGGCTCAAAAAGCCAAAGAACCACCTGCAGCCATCCCCCAGGGAGTGGATGAAATTGCTGATTCCCGGACTCCAAGCCCAGCTTTTCTGAATCAGAAGCCCCAAGGAGAGTCAGCAATCTCAATACTCAACACCACCTCAGGTGACTCTGAGACCACTCGCTGCCTTCGGGGAAGACAAGCCTCGGTCCTCCTCACTTCCTGGGACAGGGGATTTCCTCCTGGAACCTTGACTAAGCCGGAGCTGGGAAATCAGAAGGGAGGGAAGGCCCAGGCTCACCGCCCGCTCGCGATACGGCAAGTGCCGACAAGTGCAGCCCGTCCCTCTGCTGGGCTCCAGCCCCTGGGCCCCAGGCCGAGGATGGTGGCGGGTCGGGGGAGGAGCACGGTGCGCCTCCCCCCCCCACCCCACCCCCCCGCCGAGCCCTCCCAGCTGTGCTGTGCTGGGAACAGGCCAGGCATTTGTGAAACCCTGGGTTAGCCTGACCCACTGTCATGAGGGCTGCCTGTGGAAGCTGGCGCGGGGAGGGGGATGGGGGGCTGTTCCCAGAAGTGGGGAGAACTCTGGACTTCCCACTCCTGAGTGCTCCGGATTGCAGCACAGCCTTAAGCAACAGCAGCGGCCTGGAAGGCTGCGTTGCAGAGAGAACCAGAGGCCCCCAGCTCTCATCTGCAGAGAAGCCAGGACTTTGGAGTGCTAAAACTGCATGCTTTCCTCGTTAAT